TCCCGTCTGCCTACGAGATTTTTTGCTAGGTCGACACAATGCCGAATCTTTGCCTCCTCCACTCGAGCATACGCTAGTAAAACGGACGCACCGGTACGCTCCCGAATCGGCTTACAAGAGTAGTGCTTCACTCCGGTTATCAGCTTCGTAGGACAGGCCTCTACGATTTCCACGTTGCCAACGGGGCAAAAATGGTACCTTTTGCTGGATACTCCATGCCGCTCCAATATGGCAGCGTAGGCCAGGGTATATATGGTTGAAGCCGATGGAACATCATTTAATCTTGATTTCTTAGTTGCTAGCCATAATCATGTCCGCGACAGTGTGGGTCTCTTTGACGTCGGGCACATGGTCCAATCCTTGTGAGTCAATTTAAACTCGCTGTTCAACGTACTCTAACTCGAATCGTACAGCATATCCGGCCCCTCAGCGACAGCTTTCCTCGAGCACCTCACACCGTCATCCCTCGCTTCGCTCCCAGATTTCGGTTCCACCCTGTCGGTTCTACTCAATGAGAATGGTGGCATAATCGACGACACCATCATTTGTAAACACGCCGACGATGTCTATTACGTCGTTACAAATGCCGGGAGGCGTGACCGCGACCTGGCCTGGTTTCACGAGCAAATCGAGAGTTGGAACCGGGAAGACGGCAAAGGTCGTGGAAAGGAGACTCACATCGAGGTCCTTGAGGACTGGGGGCTAATTGCTTTGCAGGGTGAGTCTCCCGAGATCCGCCGAAGACGCGTGCTCTAGACTTGACGCATTCAATCAAGGACCCAAGTCAGCTGAGGTCTTGCAAAAGCTCACTTCATACGATGTGCCCTCACTCTTTTTCGGCCGGTCGGCTTACATGGATATCACCGGCATACAATGCCATGTTGCGCGTGGTGGATACACCGGCGAGGACGGTTTCGAGGTTCGCTCTTCCCAAATACATTAAAACTGGCTCTTGACCTAACTGCGTGTAGATTTCGATCCCGCCTGAGCATACAACCAATATCACTAAGCTTTTTACCACGCCTCCCGTCCAGCTGACTGGACTTGGAGCTCGTGATAGTCTGCGGCTGGAAGCGGGCATGTGTCTGTATGGGCATGACCTTGACGAAACAACGACACCTGTTGAGGCAGGGCTTAGCTGGGTTATTGGCATGTGTCCCCCTCTGTTTCCTTCGAACGCAACTAAAGCGATTCTCAGGCAAATCTCGTCGGGAAACCGGCGGCTTCATCGGTGCTAGTACCGTTCTGACGCAACTCAAGGACGGCCCTTCTCGTCGAAGAGTTGGGTTTGTAATTCCAGAGGCTCCAGCACGCGGTACAGTCAATATCTCTCTAACATACCAAAGCTTATTTGCCCTTCAACTCGATTAGAAGGTGCCAAGGTATATGCCGCCGACTCGCCCGAAACCCAGATAGGTATCATCACCTCGGGGATTCCTTCCCCAACTCTGGGCACGAATATCGCGATGGGCTACATCAAGAGTGGGCATCATAAAAAGGGAACGAAAGTTTTAGTCGATGTGAGGAAGAAACTCCGTGAGGCTGAAGTAAAAGGAATGCCATTTGTGCCTCCGAAGTACTGGAAGGGGCCAACAACCGCATAAAACGACGAAACTAAAGACAGGCCAGAATAAGAAATTATGATAGCAATTGTATCCGTATTTCGTCTCAACGCGATCAATGCATGTCTCCGGCGTGCGCATATATAAAACATTGAAGTGAGAGTCAAGCTGCTTCAACGCAGGCTCTAACTAGAGCAGCGTTTGTAGATATGCCACGAGTCTTATTTGTTTGAGGGCTTCAGGGACATAAGCAAGACCAAACTTCGCGTGCCCTATCATTTCAACAACCATGGGAAACCCAAGCCCCACCGAAATCATCATTCGGGATGCGACAGAGGAGGACCTGCCGTTCAATAAGCTACTCACCTTCTTCCTCTGAACACAGCACTCACGGTGCCATCATTGGTGCGCTATCATTGGTACAGTGAACGAGGTCTACAACTATAATATCCTAAACTCTGTCGGACTATTCTTTACGTCTCCTGTGACCGATGAGTATAGGCTTAGGTGGTTCCGAAATCTGAAACGGAGGAATATTATTGGTGAACCTTACCCTTGCTTGCTTGGTTTGAGAAAAGGAGCGGACGGTAAAGAAACAAAATTTGGATACGTGTGCTACTTACCTTGGGTGGAAGGAGAAGAGTTCCAACGGTGAGTCCTGTGTGCCATCGTGCTTATCGTAGAGACCGACTACCTTCTGTTCGTTGTACCGAGCAGCGTGGTGGAGATATCCCTATATATTGCCCAAGAGCATACAGGACTCGGCCTTGGTGTTGAGTTGCTCACGGCTATCTTAGCCCACCGGTCGACCAGACAACTCCGCGGTATCATTGGTCAGTCCTAACTCACACGTAACTCGGCAGGCCTTGGCGTATAACCGAATACTTCAGCTAGAATCGTTACTGAAAATACCTCATCAATCAAGTTCTTCTCGAAACGCGGGTTCGTTTACTCTGGACAGTGAGTTGAAGCCAGTATACACACCAACCAAAGCTGATTATAGCACTTCTATTTGGAAGGCTTAACAACGTTGGTTACAAATTTGGACGATGGCTCGATGTCGCAAACCACACTTTATATCTCCCCAGCGTACCCGATTTAAAGAATGTGAAGCTTAAGCACGAAGTGGGATGTATCATTAGAATCGAAAGCACTGCATTCATTGGCTACATACGAGGAGACCTTTGTGGAACATTTCAGATCAAAGGAATCATCCTTCAGTAAATGGGCTGTGCACGATCGACCGCCCGATGCGCTATGGGCCGTAAATGTACGATAAAAACAAGGGCGTTTTTAGCACTAACAGGCTACTCATCCTTTGTCTATCATTACATTCGCACTATCTCAGCTCCCCCTTCAAGCGTCTAGTTTGTTCCCTATTTGTCTAGCTGCCATTACAGCTGCCTGATTACCACATACCTTTATCCCGCACAGGTATATTGGCGCTAGCTCCTGGGCACGAGATATGCAGGGAACACCAGCCGTAACATACTCACTGGCTCTCTTGACACAACATTCATGTCCGACACTGAACAACGCGCGTCGATTGGGGCGATGTGTAAGTCGCTTTACCGAGAGCACCAGTTTTGCGTTGGAATTGACCATTGTATCTTACACCACCTCAGATTCTGGTGACTCAACCGCACCGCATGTTGCTCCCGTAAAGCATCCATACTTCTGCATCGAAAGCGAAATGGTGGCCATACAGGTAAGCGAGCGGTTACACTGTTAGTATGTGCTAAGCCTTGTCGTTTCTTAGGTTGAAAACACGCTGTTCAATATACATAAGCAGCAGCTCTGTCATTCTGAAACCTTCAAAGACTTGTTTAGCATAAAGCAAGCTGGTATAATCGCTCAAGGCTCAACACTTGATAATCCCATTAAGCTGCTCGGGATCTCTGCTTTGGACTTTGAAAGCCTTTTAATAGCGCTGTATGCCCAGTAAGTATATTCTTTTCATCTGTCCAACCATTTGACCAACCCAAGATTAACCAGTCGCTGCCCAACCTGCGTTCCCGTACTGCAAGTGGCTACGACACATCCATTCGATCCTCGTCATATCACACCAGCCTTTCGACTCGCAGACATGTGGAACTTTACAAACCTTTGCAACCAACTAGCCAAGCTGGCTGCAGAAAAGCTTGACGTGGTTGAACAGGCTATGTTTGCGGGCGAGTTTGGTCTCAGCGACATGCTCGAGCAAGCATATCTAGGCCTGTGCCAGCGTGACGAGCCACTCACATCAGGGGAGGCAAGCAAGCTGGGATTCGAGGGTTTCGCCCTTGTTGGGCGTTTGCGCGAAGAATCCTGTAGGAGGTTCTATCAGGTTACTTCGGCCTATTCCCCAGTACAACAGGGCTTTGGCTCCAGCCGCCTTTTCAACCCCACCCCAGCCCAAATTCACCACACTACTGGCAGGTGGTTTCCACCTACAACACCGGCAACCCCCAAAACGTCGATGACTGAGCGTGCGCCACTCCCTTCTTCGGAGGAAGCCAGGAGTTTCCTTTTAAGTCAAATTAAGCAGTTTGTTAACCAGGGCACGAGCTCTCAATAGCATGCTTGGGTTAAGTGTATCAGTTAGTAGTGGTTTTGTTTATCTTTCTTTCCATGTAGCATATATACATTTCGGTCTACATTGATATTTGTTAACCCCTGAAATTTGTTCAAATACTTGCAAATTCAAGGCCTGGTTAGGACTTGAAGCAGCCCGACCCCGGGCCCCTGACCTTGCTTCCGGTGCCTCGTGCGCCTGCTGATAGTCGTATCCATTGCTGTTATATTGGATAAACAATACAACTGGCAGTTTGGCGGACTGAACCCGTAGGATAAGAGATTTCGAGCTGCTTGGAGGACTTTTTCAGATCGTGGGACCCGAGAAGCGCCGGAATCCATGGTTTGCACGTTTGAGCGTTTCAATTCAGGTGGGGGGAGTGACCTTGCAGAAGCAAGGTGATTACATTGAAACTTTCAAATGGGCTGCTCACTGCTCTGGGGCGTTACAATCGGAGTGTGCCACAGCTATTTATGTTGCGGATGTATTGGTTGGGACGAGAGCGATGCTTTCAGTAATTGTTCACAACTTGAACTGGTCCTTATAATCGTTGGTATACGTCATGCATGTTTTGTGACTGCATCCCCCTATTTCTTGGAACTGTACTGGTGAGAGAACTTACGGAAGTCTTGTTAGATCAGTCTATTCGAGTGTAGTGTGGTAAATAAATAAAACTGCTCTTGGCAAGATCGTCCTTGGATGCTTCCCAGTCGCATTCTCAGCACTTTCTAGCCCGGGTTCTGATAGAAGTATCTTTGCCTTGTATACAACTCTTGATTCATACGCAATTTTGCACTTTTCAGGTTCGCGTTGTCACCTGGGACTCTAGGGCCCTGCACAATGCAAAATGGAGTCAATATTCGCTCAGGTGCAAGCAAAAACGATGGACAAGTTGGGAATTGAACCCAAGACCTCTCGCAGCTTATTTAAGGAGAAACTTGCTAAGCGAGCGCGCTACCAACTGCGCTACATGCCCTTGTTTAGTACGGGGCAAAAAGCTTTGTATCACCCAATCCCTAGTGACATCAACCAGCGCTTCTGCAGTTGATTTCCCAAGCCAAACACCATCATAACTGATTATTGCCTCGAGCATGCCGACATGTTCTGTGTATATAGATACCCCCGCGACGGCAATTCAAGCCCGCCGGCTCAACGCGAATGAGAGCGAGTGCCGGTGACGCCATGTCCCCACGCTGGTATCTCAGTCTCCGGGCTCCTAAATGGACGTCCGGACCGGCTGGTATGGCGTGGCGCCGACTCTAAAAGCGTAATCAGCCTTGGCGAGTCATGTGGGTGTCGGGCAATTGCGGGTTGGCGACGATGACAATGGGGGCGCCGTTAGCGAGCGCGCGGGGAACACCCACCGGGGAGCAGTCAAGGTGCCGAGGCGACTGTTGGCACTTGTTAGCAATGCGGGACGAGACGGGATGCTGGCGGGCGCACCCGGCTCGACTGGGCAGAGTGAGGTGGGGTGGGCGGTGACGGTGCGGGGCCCCAGAGTAGCAACGCAAGCGTCGGGGGCGCGCGAGGATCGCTGGATCCGTCGGCCGGGGCAGCGAAAAAGCGAGTTAAATAGGCGCACGTGCGAGCTGAAAAAGAGCCCGGAAGCTCTCACTTTCAACTCTCACTGCCAAACCGACGCCGGCCGCACCCGAGCGGGTCTACGCTGGTATCTACAGACGACCATTGGACAATGTCGCTGCTCGAACAAGCCCGCCATCGCCGCGAGCAGCTGCAGCAGGAGCACCGCCCGCTACCCCCGCTCCACCCCCCGCTCCCCTCTATCCACACATTTGCCCCCCTCCCCGCCCCTGTCGCCCGGCCTGCCGCGTTTGCCGTCGCCCACCGCACGCAGGACGGCCAGCAGGCCTACGACTACGGTGATCTGCACGAAACAGCCAGCGGCGGCGGATACAGCTACTATTCCAGTGCCCAGACCCCGGCTCCGCGCGACCCCATGTTCCGGTATGTGCCCTCTTGCGTGCCGACGCTCATCTCACATCGTACAGGCCGCGTCCCTCGTTCTCCATTACCATCGCTCCTGCCCAACCTCATCCCCCGCCGCGGCCCCACCCTCCCCCATCCCGCAAGTTTGTTCACCCGCCCGCGACATATGTGCCACCTGCGCATCCCCACTCGCATCATCTGCACTCGATCCCCCCGCGCGACAAATCCACGCGCACCCTCATCCTCGATCACCTGCTATGGATGCACGCTCGCGCCCGCTTTGGCGCTGCCCGCGGCGAACTCGGCGTCGGCACGCGCCCGCACCTCGACGCCAAGGATGCCTGTCTAGAGACGCTGGAAGATCATGGGGTCATGGGGCTTGGTCTGTTTGAAGAAGGCCTCGATAAGCTTTCCTATTCATCCCGAGCGCAGCCACCCCCAGTCGATGCCGACCCAGATGCACTCACGCTTGGCCCGCCCGACCTGGCGCTGGCGGCCGCGTACCGTGCCAAGGCTACCGGTCTCGAAAAGGTCCTCACTGCCATGCTCGACCAGGCTCCCCAGCCAGATGCAAGTCCCGGAGATGACATGGCCATCGATAGCGGGCTCAGCACGAGCCCAAGCAGCTCCCGAAGTAAGTCCATTACCCACTTCCGGTCTCGAGTCTCATTTGCTCCAGGTGTAATTCCTTCGGTTTCCCAAAAGCTGCCAAATTCTGTCCGCCTTCGCCTCGCGCTGTCGCTGCTCGTAAACGAGCTATTTTCTCCCGAGCCTGAGCCAGCTGCTGCCCCTGCCCAGTCGGCAGCTACCCCGCCCGCGCTTCTCTCGCTCTCTCAGCTCGCTTCCCTGCCTCCTTCTTTCTGCCCTCCTTCTCCGCCGATTACGACACTCCCTTCATTTCATCAGCTCACTTCGGGCCCGCCTCCGCATCCTCAAAGTATCTTCCAAAGCATCCCCCGAGGGCAAAGCATCGAAAGTCCTTGGACATATCACACTAGTGCATCTGCCGCCTCGACCTCGAGTGCGTTTCGCGACGGCGTGGTGGACGATCCGTATGCTCAACACCAGGTTGGACGCTGTGCCCGCCATCTCTCGCGGACATGCCAAATCCCCGCGTGTGCATACATTCCTGCGCCGGGCACAAGCACGAGCACGAGTCGCCCAGCGATGATCCTGGGTGTGCAACCTGGCCGGACGAGCACAATCGGTGCAGGACTCGGCAGGCCGGGCGGACCTCCGCTTCGGCTACCCCGGTCTGCGGGAGCAGGGTTGAACATGAGCACAATGCGGATGAGCATCAGCCCGCCGGGGGGTAGCTTGGGTATTTCGGGTCTAGGTTCAGGAATGGATTCTGTAGCCGGAGGTCGGCTCACAGCGCTCATCTCGCGCTTCGTGCGCCTCTCTGCGCTGGTCGCCATTGAGCTTGGGCGCGAAGCACGAGGTGAAGAGGATGGGATCCGCGGCGCAAGCAGTCGATCGGCGATGAGCCCTCCGCCAGTCAAGATTCCCAACGCAGGCCCATACTTGCCCGCCTCGAGCGGCTCGAGCACCGACGGGTCCGACGACGAGATGGCCGAACCCCCAAAGAACGGAGAGAGGAAACGGACCAAGGTCGGATCGTTTTCAACAGCTTCCGGGCGGCCGATTGCTGGCTCGCTGCGCGCAGGGGGTAAACTCAAGGCTCGGGCATCCACATCCAACTTCCGATCAGTGTCGTCCAACGGCCGGACAACTCCGACCCCGACCCTACCCGACACACGCCCGTCGTCGGTGTCGGACCTATCGCTACATGCGCGTCCGACGCGCGTGTGGTACGCGCTTTTGTGCGGCCTTGTCACGCGTGCCTGCCTGGAGGGTTATCTAATACGTGGGTGGCGCGGGACGATGGGAGCCGAGGTGTTGTTCAGGTTGGGTGTACGGCCCGAGGACGGGCCGAGTTACAATGGATCAAACGGTGTTGATATTATTAGCGCCGGAGGCGGGAACCGGCCGACATTCAATGGGGCCAGCCGAACGCCAAGCGCAACCGATGAACGAGAACTGGCAGCATACGAGGCGCGAGAAAAGGCGCTTGCTGACATGTACGATCCTGATGAAATGCCGACGCTCGCCGAAGCTGGGAGAATCCTGTTCAACCGCGAGAGCAGCGGGGAAGAAGAGAGCGAGTGGGAACGCGAGGTTCGGGACCGATTTGTCGAGGTGGGTTTTCTACTTGCCGATAGCAGAGATGCACAACTGACCAGCCTTCTTTTCTCTTCCTTGTTCGTGATGTGGGTGGGTGTATGCGGGCTTGTAATCCTGTCTTGATGAAACGTGTCTTTTACCCTGCCCCTATCCGTGATGGGACGGGCATCGCCCCCTGGTCCCACCGGCATGCCGCCGCCGTGATAACGCTTGATCGCTTGTCGTGCTCGGATCGCTAACTTTTGATGGTCGCGTGTTGCCGGACGCCTGAAACAGTTTACGAGCGTACCACACGACGCGCCAGGACTCGGTGCGCATCTCGAAGGGATCGCAGACCGGTACTCCGCCGAGCCCGTCGAGCGCGCTGCGTTGCGCTTCTGCGAGTCAGTTGCACGGTGGCGTGGGAAACCTGAGCTTGAGACGGTGCGTGTATGCATTTGACGTGTTAGGGTGCGCCGGGAGTTGACCGGAAACATAGTACAAGAAGCCAGTTGCTGCGCCCTCGCCTGGCCCGTCGATCCCAATTGACCAGTTGATCAACATCCCGCCGAGTGCGACGCCTAAACCGCCGATTGAGCGGTACTTTCACCTTCCTGGGCTCACGCCATCCACGTCAACTCCTATATGGCGCGTGTCCGATTCGGCGCCGACCAACTCGAAGCGGCCGCGTGCGCACGACGAAACTGGCACAGGCGATCGCGAGGCAAAAAAGGTCAACGTCGCGTCGGGATCGGGGCAAGGTCTGGGGTATGTTGAGGAAGAGGAGTGGGTTGGGCCGTATGGTTTGTGAGCGTGAGAGTCTGGGCCCTGGGTTATTGCGTATGCACTATCTGAAGTTAAACTTTCGAGTTGCATTTTGATTGGTTGTATGGTTCCCGCTTGTCCCCTGTGTTTAGTATGTGTATGTATTATCCGATTTCAGAGTTATGTTGTACAAGACCGTTACAAAAACAAAAAGCAAGAATGAAAAGGTGCGATTATCGCTTGAAAACCAAGTTACACATCCAGAACGGGCAATACCGAATACAGCCGTCAGAACAGAGCCCACACAAAACACAAACGTACGAACCCCACTACCTTAGATACGAGTGACAGGTACTGTTCTGTGTGGGTCAGGATCACTGAGCAAATGTACAGGCGAGAGGAGAGGCATCGGCGGCTCTACACGTCGCGACACATCACCCCGCTCCACGTCCTCGTCGGCAGCTTTTCGCTCCTTCTTTGCATCATCTTCGATATCACTCAGATCGCCCTCACTGCCCTCGGCCACGTCGAACCGGAGCGTATGCCCCGACTTGAATTGAGCCGCGCTTGGAGACGGCATTGGGGTGGAGTGGGTAATCTCCTGCATGATCAGCACGCCATCGCGCATGTCGCCCACGCTCCCTCCCGACCTGGACCCAGAGCCTTGGTTGCGACCAGTAGGCCCAATACTTCCAAACGTGCTGATCGCGCCGGCGCCCTTTTCACGGAGCTTCTCCGCTCGCGCCTGGCGGCGGGCGCCGAACCCAAGAACGTTGGGCCGGGTGGAGACGAACATGATCACGTTGACGATGCCAGAGAGACCAAAGATGCAGAGCACGATCGCCGTCGCAGTGAATGGTGTCTCGGCCGCAGTAGGTGTCAGATCCGGGGGCGCGGAGGGGTCAAACGTTGTCCAACGTGCAATCGAGAGAGGCAGTACGAGTGCCGTGTATGCCGCGGGGTAGCTATTTTCAGACAGGTAAACAAGGGCCCCTTCGCGGGCGGTTATCACAAACTCACTAGAGAAGCTTGAGCGCATCGCTCGTTTCCTGCTTGATAACCAGGCGTCCGCTGGTAGTAGCCATAGCCTGCAGCCGGACG